GGACACCACCGCAGCTTCTGGGGACGACAGAGCTGGAGCCGCCGCTGCCGGAAGGGGGTTCCGAGCCTCGGCCCGAGGCGCCCGCCTCTCCGGGAGCCAGGCTGGATGACCGTCCCTGTCGCCCGCCGCCATCCCCATCCCAGCCGCCACTCATCTCCACTCCTCCTCCTGGCCCTCCTCACCCGCACCCGCTGTCCCTGTCACTACCGCCTCAGTCCCATCTTCAGCCCCATCCAGCCTCATCCCTCTCCATCAGGAGCGCGGTCGCCGGCCTCCGGGTCCCCTCCATCAGCCTCCCCAGCCTCGCTGCGCCCGGCCACCCACCCCCTCTGCTGCTGGCGGGGGCTCCCAGGTTCACCCTGTACCCTTCTCCCTCGCGGTCTACCCCGCGGCGCCCCGCCGCTCTCCCCGCCCCCATCCTTCCTCGCACCCTTCCTGCCGCAGCCTCCTCCTGCCGCGAGCCCCCCTTCCTCGTCCACCGAGCCCATCCCCCTCCGCCTGTCGCAGCCCGGGAGCCCCCTCCCGGTGCCTGCCGCACCCACTGCGGCAAGCCCCTTCCCCGCCAATCCCGGCGCCCTCCCGCCCCTGCTCTGCCGCAGCCCCCGCACCGCCGCCCCTCCCGGCGCGCGCCGGCCGCGCCCACTGCACCAGCGCCCCCTCCCCGCTGCACCCGAGCGCTCGCGGCTGCAGTTCCAGACCCTGTACCTGCTCCTCCGGCTCCGCGGCCCTGGGTCCGAGGGCGATGGTGGCGGCGGTGACAGCCCCCGGTGTCTCGGAGCCTTTGTTCCTCGCGGGGCAGCCTGGCCCTAGTCGCCCCTGCAGGCAGTGGCGGGTGCCTGGGGCCCCCAGGCCTGGGAGCGAACACTCCCACCGAACGCAGAGGTGTCAGCTGTGGACTCCCCTCGGTGATGGAGGCGCTGCCCAGCGGAGGGTCTCCTTGGTGATGCTGTCATTGGGTGAAATAGGGGCGGGGGCTTTGGATCGTGAGATTGTCCAGGAGGGAAGCCAAGCACGTTTGGGGGTGCAGACAGGGATTGAGGGGTGCTGTTGAAGCCATTTGTGAGGAGTGGAGGTACCAATTTGTCTGTCTCCCGATGGTGCCCTCGTGGTCAGACAGCCGGTGCTCAGGTAGGACCCCCACGGGAGCAGGCCAGAGGTGCAGGCTTCTTGGGGAACAGGGGCGAACCCAGGAAACCTGGCCATTTGTCTAGCGCTCCCACTCCTGGCAGGGGCAGGCTGTTGCACGTAGGAAAATCCTTTGGATGGAGTCCACGGGCAAAGTGGGCACCCGCAGGCTTTGGGAAGAGGACTTTTGCCCTGGTCAGTCAGGCAGAAGGCCACTGTGGGGATCCAGAGCTTGGGGGAGGGGGCCTGCTCCTCTCCCTTGGCATGTTTTGGTGTCCATGGTGCCTGGAGCTGTCCACCCTGATCTGTGAGTGCCAAGCGCCTGGGGGTCTCAGCTTCCTATCTGCACCCCCATGTGGAAGCTTCTGGAGGAAAGGGCTTGGCCAGGCGCCATCTCTGCAGTCTCCTTGGGAGGGCTCCAGGGTGCCGTCACAGGCAGCTGCCCACGTAGACCAGGATAAATGAGGCCGGGTCCGGCATCAGATGGCGACCCTGTCGGAGGGCAGTCTTGGCTACAGCATGTGCTGACCGCGAGGACCATGGGTGGGCTGCGCATGCCCAGAGACACAGGGTTGGAGCCGCTGGGGCAGCAGGGTCTGGCCTAGGAGATGTCTAAGCCGCAGCTGGTAGGGGTCTTGCCGTGAAGCAGCCTGGGGTGACCCCATGTGGTCTGAATATGGAGGGAAGAGAACCAGAGGGCAGCCGGGGTGGCTGGGAATCAGGAATCAGACTTGGAGTCTAAAGAGATGGGTGGAAACAAACCTGCCATGAATTACACCCCACCCCCACCCCCAAAAAAAACCAAAAACCTGGGAGTCTCAGAAAAGGGAAGTATCCCAAAGATGAGGGAGAGAAAGTTCTAGAAGGATGGGGTAGAACAGATTCAGCCAAGGGATCAAGAAAGAAAAAAAATCAAGGGACAGGTTTCGGCCCAGCAGGAGGCAGCGTGAGAGCCGGGTCTGTACAGAGGGAGGGGTCTTTGGGGGGATGGCTCCTGGGTCTGGGAAGGAGGGCTTCTGCGGACTCACTCTTCAGCCTGACGGCCAGGCGGTGGGGACGGCCAGGCGGTGGGGAGGCAGACACGCACGCACACACTTCAGGGCTGAGTTGAGAGAAGCGGGTGGAGACTTGGCCAGACAAGTCAGACACAGGTCGCTGTCATCCAGGCTGGCACCCAGCCCTCTCCAGACAGCTGCCCCCACTGCCACAGCTTGTGTTCCTGCAGGTTCAGGGCTGCCTCGGGGACAGACATCCAGATTCGCCCCCGGGTCAGGGTCTGGCTGGGCCAGGGCTCAGCAGGTCGAAGCCTTCTGCGCAGCGGGCCTCAGGGGTGGCCTGGCCCAGCCTGCCCGGGGCCCTCAGGCCGGCGCCCAGGCTCTGGCTCCGTGTCTTCACTCCCGTGTTGTCGGAGGAGGGAGGGAGGGACGGGGGCTGTGCTAGGGCGGCCGGAACAGCGCAGGTCACCGGGCCGGCTGGGCGAGGTGGCCGGGCAGGGCCAGGGCTGCAGAGGGGGCTACAGGGAGGGCCCTGCTCCCGATGGCCGGCCAGCCAAGCCGAGGAGACCCTCCCAGAACCTGTGCGGGATGGGGGCCACCGGTGCTCTTGGACTCCAGTGGCCTGGCCTCACCTCTGCATCCACCTCCTCCTGGCTGCAGGTTGGGTGGGATGGGGTCCACTGGGACCCTAGCATTCGGGAGGGAGAGCACAGTAGTGTGGTTTCCTCCTGGCAGCCCCAGTCCTTGGGCCGCTGACCTGTCTTGGCCCAGCCTGAAGGTGCTGGCCTGCCTACCTGTAGCACATGCCTAGCAGCTGGCCCGGGTGCCCTGGTACAGCTGAGCCCGGGGTGTAGACTTAAGGCCCCTGCTGACGCCTGCAGCCTCCTGCCCGAGGCACGCTCCCTGGCTTGATGCCCACCCAGCACCACCAGGGGCCAGGCCCTCAGGGTGGACTCCCCCAGGTGCACTCCCCACCCCTCCTGTGGAGGGGGACATCCCCGCCCAGCTGAGGCAGGGGGCTCAAGACCGGCCCCTCAAGTAAACGTGACCCGTCCTCACACAGTCCCATGGCGATGTCCCTTGTCTGCCGAGCCCAGACGGCCATGGCCATGGGTGTGGGGCAGCTGCGGTTTCTGCAGACGGGAAGGTGCAGGGCCCCGCTGAGTCAGGGTCAGTAAGACTGCAAGAGTGGAGGGCGGCCCTGGGTGCTGACGGAGATTCTGTACCTCATCCTTCCCACCTGAGCTGGAAGGGGACGGAGGCCCTGTCCACCAGGCTCTGACAGGGTGGACCCGGAGCCCCAACAGGCTCCCACAGGCCCCCGCCTGAAAGGCCTGGCAGTAGCTCAGACCCCTGTCCCCCCAGCAGGCCTCTGGCTTAGCAGGGTGTGGCCAGAGTGGACACCTAGCTCCTGGCCCTGTCTGCCCATCAGTCCTGTCCCTCCTCAGGTGGGAGCTTGGTGGCATGCCCTGTCCTGGGACGTGGCCCAGGCACCCGGGTGGGGTGAAGGAGGGTGTCAGGCAGGGGGCACAGGGTGGGGGCCTGGGGGCAGCACTGCTCTCCTGGTCAGCACGTGCTTCTTCCCGTCCAGCCTCCTCTGAAACACCCACCTACAACACCCCCCTTTCTTTTGAGACCTGCTTGAACCGGGGGTGTCCCTGAACAAGGACCCCACTTCTCCTGTTCTCCTGCCAGCCTTGCTCCCCCTCTCTGAGCTCTCGGCTGTGAGACGGAGGCTCCCTGGGGGCGCTGAGGCTCTGGCTGTGCTGAAGGAGGAGCAGTCCGTCCACACCCCGGGTGGGCTCTCCTGGCCCCTCTGCCCCCACCAGGCAGCCTGGCACCTGCAGCTCGTGTCCATGCTGGGTCCAGGGCAGAGGCCACAGCAGGAGCCCAGACGGTCTGAGTCCCTCGGCTTTCTGCTTCCCCTGGGTGCCGAAGAGCCCTGTGCAGCGTGCGCCTGACACCAGGGCTCTGCAGGGTGAATCCAGCCTGACCGCAGACGCAGCTGGCTTGGGGGGAGGCAGCGGCCCCAGGCCCTGCAGGTGGCCTGAGCCCTCTTGTGGCTGGCTAGAGGCTAGTGGACCTCTCTGTCCACACCCGAGGCTCAGGTCCCGGTCGGCAGACCTCTGGGCCCACCTCCCAGCAGAGCTGCACCTCCCCCTGTCCCCTACTGAGGGACGGGCAGCCTCGAACTTGGGTCCCCAGACCCCTCCCCACTCCCTCCTGGACGCAGAGGTTGGCCTGTTCCTCCCATGACTTCCCATGACCCCACTCCGCAGGGGTCAAAGCCACATAAGGCTGGCCCCAGCCACCCTCCAGCACTCCTACGCTGCCTGGTGGGTGCTCCCCATTCCCACTGGCCCTCCCTGCACCCTGACCCAGGAGGGCACCAGGGGAGCCCCACCAGGTGGTAGTGTGGCTTGGTGGACAGGCCCAGGGGCCCCAGAACAGAGTGGCCCAGCGGGTGTGGGCCTGAGCCCGGTCTCCTCACGAGGCCAGGAACTTTGGTCCTGGTCTGTACAGCAAGGTCCTTTAAAACTGGATCCTGGGGCCACGCACTTGACCCTGGTATTAGACAGCCGCACGTGCACCGTGGGCTCTGTGGGGCCAAAGCCTGCCCTCGTCCCCCGGGCGGTTGGCAGTCATGCTGTGTGGCACCGTCCCGATGGTGCTGCTGGAAGCCGACGCCCAGCCGAGCAGGGTACCTGGTACCCAGAGGGCCCTGTCAGGGCCGCCGTCCATCCCCTCCACAGCCCGCACCCAGGTGCTGTGGGGTGTCTGTCTCACTGGGCACTCCACAAGTTCTGGTCTGACATCCTGTCCAGGAGAGCCCTGGGCAGCCTCGGCCCCTTCTCGCCCTCACGCCACCCTTCCCCACAGGGGAGCACTTGCGGATCTGCCCCCAGGGCTACACCTGCTGCACCAGCGAGATGGAGGAGAACCTGGCCAACCGCAGCCACACAGAGCTGGAGACGGCACTTCGAGACAGCAGCCGGGCCCTGCAGGCCACACTGGCCACCCAGCTGCACGGCATTGACGGTGAGTCTAGGGCTGGGGACAGTCTAGGGTTGGTGGCACGCTCCTTCAGGCAGGGCCTGAGCCAGGGGAACTGGCAGGAGGAGGGAGGCAGAATGAGCACCTCGGAGCTGGGACTTGGGTATGGCTATCAGAAGAGGGCTGCCCTCGGGTGGGGCCTGAGTGGGGACGTGTGAGCCCCAGAGTCACCTGCACAGCTCCGTCCACCTGTGATGTGCAGGGTGTAGTACCTCTGGTAACAAGGGCTGCCCTCGGGTGGGGCCTGAGTGGGGGTCAGACCGGGCTCCACTCATTGGTGGCCATGTGGACCCCGCCTCCAGCCTGATCTCTGTGCTGGATCATGACACTCAGAGCAGTTACAGACCTTAAGTTCTACTTCTAGAGAGAACGGGGACTCTCCAGGCCCCATCCTGGGCACATGGGGTACAAGGGCATTTCCCCAAACTGTGGGGTCTGCAGTCCATGCTGGCACCTGTGCCCCCACCCTGCCAGGATGTGTCCATCAGAGGCACGTGGGGCCTGTGGGGCCCAACCAGCCCCTGCAGCCTGGCGTCTGGCTCTGATGACCACACAGGCAGTGTCTCCCCGCTGGGCCCTCTTGTCCCCCTGGGCTGCCAGGGTGTTTGGGTGGATGGACAGAGAGCAGGACCTCTGAAGGCCGCCCGTGCTGTGTGCAGGTCACTTCCAGAGCCTGCTGAACGAGTCGGAGCGCGCGCTGCAGGAGACCTTCCCGGACGCCTTCGGGGGACTGTACACGCAGAACGCCCGGGCCTTCCGGGACCTGTACGCCGAGCTGCGCCTCTACTACCGCGGAGCCAACCTGCACCTGGAGGAGACGCTGGCCGAGTTCTGGGCCCGCCTGCTGGAGCGCCTCTTCAGACAGCTGCACCCCCAGCTGCTGCTGCCCGACGACTACCTGGACTGCCTGGGCAAGCAGGCCGAGGCGCTGCGGCCCTTCGGGGAGTCCCCGCGGGAGCTGCGCCTGCGGGCCACGCGGGCCTTCGTGGCGGCACGCTCCTTCGTGCAGGGTCTGGGCGTGGCCAGCGACGTGGTCCGGAAGGTGGCCCAGGTACACACGTGGCTAAATGTCCCCGTGCCCTGCCCCAGACTCGGCCCCTGGCATCTCTGCCCTGTCAGCTGTGTCCCCAGGCGTGAGCTCCACTCTGGGCCAAGGGCTCTGGCCAGCCCACTTGCTGCCCAGTCCTGTCTTGGGCCAGGCTGCGCCCTGGGCAGCAGGGGAAGGACCGGAGGCCTAGGGCTGAGGCTGGGCCTGGCTGGGGGCTCGGGATCCACTGGGGGTCCGACACAGGTGGGGCTCTGAGGCCTAGCCAGGCCCCCCTGGAAGGGCAGAGGCTGCCTGCTACGCCCATGCAGCGCTGGACATGAGCTGCCCCGACTCCAGCCAGGGTCCTCAGCGTGTCACCCCACCGCTGAGCCTCAGGTGGTTCTGTGTGGTAGGGCTTTCTGCGTCCCACCAAGGGTCGGTGACGATGGTGTGCTGGGAGTGGTGACCATCCCGGCGCCCTGCATGCCCAAGCTGGCTAGGCAAGGTCTCCCGTGTGTCAGGCAGAGCTGGGGTCACCTCTGACTCCGTGCAGAGCCCGCCGGGACTTGGTCATGGCTGCAGCTCACCTCGTCGGCCGGGTGTGCTCAGGTGGCCTTTGCTCCCCAGGTGCCCCTGGGCCCCGAGTGCTCTCGAGCCGTCATGAAGCTGGTCTACTGTGCTCACTGCCTGGGGGTCCCCGGTGCCCGGCCCTGCCCCGACTATTGCCGAAACGTGCTGAAGGGCTGTCTGGCCAACCAGGCAGACCTGGACGCCGAATGGAGGAACCTTCTAGGTGAGCCCCTGCCTGGCCTTGGGAGCTCTCCACTGTGGACCTGGAAGGCAGGTGGTCGGTCCCTGCTCAGTAGGGAGACCCAGGGCCAGATCTGGGTGGGAGTGTGGGGTTGAGTGTTCTGATTGGTATGTGACCTGGGGGAACACTGTGGGATCATAGTTCCTTGTCCTGCCCCACTGAGCAGCCTCCAGCGCATGCATGAGCTACATACAGACTCTGACACGTGGGAGCTGGCACACACAGGCCGGCAGGTACGTGTGCTGTCACGTGTGTCTGTACACCCACGTGCTGCCGTCGGTGGGTGACCCAGGATGCCCATGTCCATCTGCTGGCATGTGAGTCAGCACACACACCCACCCACGTCCGCCTGCAAGAGCAAGGCGGGCGTCCAGTGGGTGGGCAAGGTGCCCACACTGTGGGTATCACATACAGTACCCACGCGTACGTGCTGACACCTGTGATGTCACGATGTGAGACAGAAACTGACCCAATGTGTAAGCTCTCAGTGCACACGGCCTGCACAGGTGGGCGCCTGTGGATGAGGTGGGCCCTGGGTGGGCTATGGGTGTGTGCCTGCTGAGTGCTGGGCCCCCACGGGGAGCAAGCCCCTGGAGCCCTGCTGTGGACCTGCACTGACCCCTGCCTGGCGTGTCTGTGTGGGTCCACATCTGTCCAGACTCCATGGTCCTCGTCACTGACAAGTTCTGGGGCCCGTCGGGAGCAGAGAACGTCATCGGTAGTGTGCACATGTGGCTGGCAGAGGCCATCAGCGCCCTCCAGGACAACAAGGACACACTGACGGCCAAGGTTCGGGCAGGGGCCACCAAGAGCATCGGGGGGGGGGGGCGTTGCTGCTGTGGCCCACCTGGGCCCGAGAGTCCCTGCTGGCCTCCAGGACCTCTGTGGTATCTGTAGGTCATCCAGGGCTGCGGGAACCCCAGGGTCAACCCCCAGGGCCCTGGGCCTGAGGAGAAGCGGCGCCGGGGCAAGCTGACCTGGCAGGAGAAGCCCCCAACAGACACGCTGGAGAAGCTGGTGAGTGGCCCTCCCCTGGCCTGAGCGTGGGGAGGGCAGGGTGGCTGCAGGCTGTCCAGTGACCTGACTGCTGCCTGGCAGGTCTCCCAGGCCAAGGCCCAGCTCCGAGACATACAGGACTTCTGGATCAGCCTCCCAGGGACACTGTGCAGTGAGAAGATGGCCATGAGCTCTGCCAGTGACGACCGTTGCTGGAACGGGATGGCCAAGGGCCGGTGGGTACTACCTCGCTGGCCATGTCCTGCATGGGGCTTGCAGCAGTACACAGGAAGCGGGGCTGGGGGGAGGCATGCCTTTGCCCAGACAAATTGAGGGTAGAGACCCCCCACTCCGGCTGTGTGGCTGCCACTGGCCCCTGGAGGGCCGCTGGGTGCCTCCAGCTGGGGGTCTTGGGCCTGGGGGGGGGCAGTGGGAGCGGGTTCTGCTGGCACGGGCCCCTTTGCAAGATGCAGTGACGGGGCCTTTGCCTGATCTGCCCCAGGTACCTACCCGAAGTGATGGGTGACGGCCTGGCCAACCAGATCAACAACCCCGAGGTGGAGGTGGACATCACCAAGCCAGACATGACCATCCGGCAGCAGATCATGCAGCTGAAGATCATGACCAACCGGCTGCGTGGGGCCTACAGTGGCAGTGACGTGGACTTCCAGGATGCCAGTGAGGGTCCCGGCCCTGGCGGTGGGGCTGGGCACTGAGAACCGGGGGTCCCGAGGGCTGTGAGGGTCTGCTGCTGAGCGGGGACAGCACGCCTGTGTCCCTGCAGCGGCTGAGGCCCGGCAAACCCAGGAGGGCCAGTAGCACTGGACCTGGGCCTCACAGAGAGCCATCGGGTCCCTGGACACGGGGTCTCTGGGTAGGGCCGGCTGCTGGAGTCCCCTCTCCTCCCCAGGTGATGACGGCAGTGGCTCAGGCAGCGGCGGTGGCTGCCCTGACGACATCTGCGGCCGGAGGGTCAGCAAGAAAAGCTCCAGCTCCCGCACGCCCCTGACCCACGCACTCCCCGGCCTGTCCGAGCGAGAGGGGCAGAAGACCTCGGCCGCTGGCCGCCCCCAACCCCGTGCCCTGCTCCTGCTCCTGCTCCTGGTTCTCGCGGCAGCCAGGCCCCGGTGGCGGTAACTGCCACGGCCCAGGGACGGGGCCCAGGACAGACTTTGCCAAAACGCAAAACAGGATATTTAATTCCCCTTGGCCTGCAGAGGCTCGGGGCAGGACGAGGGGACAGTGGCTCTGTGTGCTGGGCAGGGTGCGTGGGGCCTCACCTGCCAGGTCCTCAGGTCAGCTGGGGGCCAGTGTCCCCAAAAGCCATGTATTTCAGGGACCTCAGGGACATCTCTGGCTGCCCGTACCCCCCACCCCTCCCAAGGCCCCTGGAGGAGGTGACCCCTAGCAACGTCCCGCTGGAGACCTCGAGCGAGCCTGTGCCTTCCTCGCTGCCTTCTGCCGGGGACTCTGCTGCACCTCCCTGGCTCCACATCAGCAAGGCCACCCCTCCGCACCCCAGGGTGTCGGGGGCCCGACCATGCTCTGGCGGGGCCTCTGAGCTTATGCATGATACCTCCCACCCGCGGGGCTCTGAAGCCAGGGCCCACCCTCCCTGTGTCGCCTCAGAGTCCCAGTGGACGCAGTCCACCTTGGGGCCGTGCCAGCACAGCCACACCCCGGCTCTGCTGTGTTGACCTTTTGCTTGTAGGTGGGGTGCTGTCCCCACCACCCAGGGAAGCAGAGGGCCTGCCCCTCACGTGGGCTCACATACGCAGGCCTTCTGGGGCCAGGTCTGCAAGAGGAACCCCACTTCTGGGGAGTAGCCAGCCATTCCTACCCCACCCCACCCAGACAGGATGGCCCTGGGGCTGCAGGCCAGGGCAGCAGGGGCAGGGGCAGGCAGAGCCTGACCGTCGAGGGCTTCTCCGGCACCTGCACATTCAAACACTTCTTTCCCTGCCCCAAGACCTGCACCTCAGTCCTCCTGGAGCCCAGCTTGGACCCTGGGGCCCTTCGGTGGCCCTGGACTGAGTGTGCCCAGCTCACTGAGGGCATCGGGCCCAGAAGCCAGCAAGCCCTGGAGCAGGGACTGGCGTCCTATCAGAGGGGCCCCTGCATGGCGAAGGACGACAGGGGCGGACACCGAGTGGCCACAGCCAGGGACAGTCATTCCGACCCACACGGGCCTGGAGAAGGTCACTCAGTGCTTCTGTGATCTCTGCTGCTGGGCCGGGATCTTCCCACCTGCACCATGGGGGAGGCTCTGGGTGCTGGTCCAGCCCCTTGGCACAGGGTGGGAGACTCAAGCTGGTCCTTGGACGTGTTGGGTCAGGCCCTTGGGACCCCTGCCCTGTAAGAGCCCCGTAAGTGCCATGCAGGCTGAGGTGGCTGGAGCAGACCCCAGCCCTGGGACAGAGGACCCAGACCTGGGAGGCAGCACTGACACTGCCCGTGATGGCCAGGGGTGACACCCCGCACCACCCCACATGCTTCTCTGGAAGGGGCAACCCTGAGCAGCCACTGGCCAGGGCAGTGGCCCAGCCTGCTGTGTCCTTCCTCACGAGGCCCCTGGTCACTCAGTGCCAGCAGGTCGCCAGGTCACCTGTGTCGAGTCCTGGTATGAATAAAAGGCTGGAGACCCACACAGGACAAAGCCTCATGTGCTGCTCTGAGCCTGCCTCACGCCACCCAGCAGAGCGCGTGTGACAGGACGTAGGTCAGGCTCTGCTGGGAGGGGCCCCTACTGCCATGGGCCACTGCATGGCCAGGCCCTGGCCAGGCCCCCGTCCTTGGCTGAGCACCCTTTGTGGGGTGTGGGTGGGAGAGGCCAGAACAGGACGTGGGTCAGGCTCTGCTGGGAGGGGCGTAGTACTGCCATGGGCCACTGCATGGCCAGGCCCTGGCCAGGCCCCCGTCCTTGGCTGAGCACCCTTTGTGGGGTGTGGGTGGGAGAGGCCAGAACTGGGCTCCAGATGATCTGGGCAGGCCCCACCCACCTTCCACCTCTGCCCACCCGCTCTGGGTGTGCCATGCAGTCCTCTCACCCTTAGCAGGTCCCAGTTCCTGCCAAGTGGGGTGTTCTGATGGCTCAGTCTGTCCCTTGCTCCCCAGGCATGGGGTCCTGTATAGTCCTGAAGGCTGTAGCTGCCCGCCCACCCCTGCTTGGGGGTGCCCTGTTCCTGTGGGTCCCCTGGCCCTGGCTACTTGGCTGAGAAGCCACCACAGAGGCACTCAAAAGAAGCACCACTCTCCAGCACATGCCACCAACAGGGCACTTTATGTGAGCACCGCGGCCTGCCTGGTCTTCCTGGGAGGCGGTGCTCACGTTTCCCACACGGCCCTGGAGCCCAGAGGCCACACCGGTGTGAGCGAGCAGGCCCCTGCTCTGGAGGACCAGGCCCTGGGGCACACTCCACACACCTCCCAGGGAGGGCATCTCCCAGGGTTCATAGCTCCTGAGGGCCGGCACAGGCCTCTGGAGACACAGCAGCCAGGTCTGTGGTGGGCTGTCCCTCCTCCACCTGCCCTCAAGTCCTGGGAGGCCCGGCAGCCCAGCTGCTCCCCTGGGATACAGGTGGTGGTGGAGTCCTCTTCCCTCTCGGCCTCGGGGCTGGCGGAGCCCGCGCAGACTGGAGCAGCCGAGGCTCACTGGGGTTGGCAGACAGGACTGCTGTGTTTCATCCGGCCAGGCAGTGTCAGTGTCTTGGCCTTTAGAAACATCACCCTCTTCCGCTGCTTCTGCCCGTTCTCTCTGATTCGGGGTGAGTATGTCCTCACTGTGAGAGAAAGAAGAGCCCAGATGGGATGGACGCCTGGTGCAGGGCCACAGATGGAGGGGGCCACCTCAGCCGGCCTCATCGGGCTCTACCCTGGTGTCCCAAGAGGCTGACCAGGAAGAGGCCCCCAGGCCCTCTCCATCCCTCATGGGATTTCAGGGAACCATGACATCCTGACCAGCCCACGCTGACCGCTAGAGAGTGGCCAGCTCCTCAGATGCTCCCTGAGCTCCCCACGCCACGTGAAGGCCATCCTGATAGGCCCGGTGGTGTCTGTGATGGACACGTGCAGGCACGAGTGCCCAGGTACACGCACACGCACATGTCAGTGACACGCCAGGTGCATATGAAGCACTGGAACACACCCACGTACACGACACGGGCACACCCCTGTGCTTGCACATACCCACACACAGCATGGGCACACGCACACCCTCGTACATGCTTGACCACGCATCCATGCAAACACGCTCATCACACCCCAGTGCACACATGCACGTGACATACTGCTCCCTCCAGGCCCTCAGCCTGCGTCCCACCTGGGGACAGGCCCTCCGTGGAGCAACATCACCATGACCCAAGAGCTCCCCACATCCAGAATGCAGGCTGATTCCCCTCTATACCCACCTTCCCCCACCTTGTGTCACAACTGAAATCATGGGAAGGTCACAAGGGCATGTACCTGCGGGAAACTGAGGACAGATGACAGGGCACATGTCAGAGCCATCAGAGACGGGGGCAGGCTGGGAAAGGAGATCCTGGGCACACGGCAGGTACCCAGGCTGGAGCCTGCCAAGGAGGGCCTCACTGAGGGCACTGCCCAGCAGGCTGTCCCTTCTCTGCAGGGACACCTCCCGGGCAGGAACCCCCACCCCCAATACAGGAACAAATGCATCACTCAGCCCACAAAGTGAGACTTCAGTGAGTCTCAACATTCCCCTCCTTTGATGTGGCCTTAAGTATGAGCAGAACCGCCCCCATTTCCAGCACAAGCCCCTTTCCACTCCCAGACTGGGCAGGACAGAAACAGGCCAGTCGAGAGCTCACAGGAGGAAGGGCCAGGCGAGGTCTGGTTGGAGCCGGTGGCGACAGCACAGTAGGCTGCTGAAACAGACCCTCCCCTCGCACCCACCCGAATGCTGGGGAAGTCCCCTTTTCATCACGTCAGACACTAAGCTCCCAGAGGGGCTCAACCCTGTGTGCCCAAAAGGAAGTGGAGAACTGACAGCCACGGTGACCGTCACAGTAGACATCAAGCTGGGGCTGGGGTGGGATGCGTGAGGCTGGAACGGGGAACCCAGGGGACCCAGACGCCTCAGAGCCACAAAAAGTCGTCCCTGGTGCTTAGTAAGGCCCAGGGGTGGTAGGCTGCCCAGGGTTTCAGGTGGAAGAGAAGTGTCCCCATAAGGAGTCAGTGCCTGGGGACGATGGAAAATGAGGGAATGTGGAAGAGTCCGGAGGTCTCACCCACTGGAAGGGGGGCTGCAGAGAAAGAACGCCAAGCCCCAGGAACTGGCACAGTGTCTCGAAATCACCACCCACCACAGCAGCCACCCCAGGTCCGGCACCGGAACTTCAGACAGGGCCAGCCCAAGTGGTCTGCAAGTCGGGGTTTGTGTTGCCAGAGAAAAAAGGAGGAGAAATAGAAGCCACAAAGGGCAGATCCGTAGGAGCCTACGAACACGGGACTGTCGACGTCCCCCAGGGAGGGACACAGGCTCAGGGGCCTGCGGGCAGGAGGAACGCGGCCCCGCTGCCAGGAAACTAGCCACGTTCTGTGGGAATACGAACATCCAGATTCGTGGCGCTCCAAGGACTCCCAGCAAGATCAGCCCGATGAGGGGCGTCCTGAGACACGTCACGGCCAAGGAGAAGCAGCACCGCAGGCAGGAAGGGGCTCCTCCATCCGGGAAGTGGGCGGCCGACCTGGCAGGTGGAGGGGGTGGGACAGCATGTTCGAGTTCTGAAAGGAAAAAGTAACGGCCAAACAGGAAACAGGAAGCCCATCTGGCAGAGCTGCTCCTCAGAAATGAACGGGAGAGAAAATGTTCCCAGACCTGAGATGGGGTGCCCCTCCCTGTGACTCCTGACTTACAAGGAATCCCAAATGCCGTTCTTCACACTGAAATCACGCTGAGTGACATGAATCTACGTCACTGTCCACTCACGTATGTGGTCAGTCAGAGTGGTCACGCAGCAGTGGAGGAACATAGAGTGAAACAAGGACACTAGAGCTACGGTGTGTCCTCATGGAAACACCATTGTATAAAAAATATAAAGTGACCTCGATCGTATAAAGGGTCGGGGTGGGGAGTGGACGTGGGGAGTTTCGCATGCAATTAAAGAGTTGTCAGTTTAAAATAGAATTTTGTGGCTGTAAGGTAGTTCATTTTTTATTATTAATAGGTGGGACCCTCACAAAGACCACAAAGGAAAAAATTCTAAAAGATACAAAAAAAAAAAAAAGGAAGAGGGATAAAAGTGTAACACTACAAAAGATCAACGATGACCCAGGAAGAGAGGAGGAAGGGACGCGGGGACTGCAGAATAGTCAGAGGACACCCAGGGCAGAGTCGGGTCCTCCTACCAGTGATGAGCAAGTGGCCGGATCCCCATCCACAGGACAGAGTGGCTGAAGGCCTCTCGGTAAAGCACCCAAGTGCACCCTGAGGACAGAAGGGAGCAAACAGCCACGGGGCAGCCTGGGCGGCTCCACTCACATCAGTGAGAACAGGTGTCAGTCCAAGTCTCAGGAAGGACGACAGCGATTCCCGGAGGTCAGTTCCTCAAGAGGACGCAGTGTGACTACAGGAGCACCAACATGGAGCACCTACATACAAAGAGCAGCTAGTGATTGAGCCAAAGGGAGAAGCGGGCCCACGGCACGGAGTGGGGAGCTTCAGCCCCGGGCCAGCCCTGGTTCAGTCCTGGGTACAGGAAAAAAACCCCAGATGATCCAGAGAGAAAATCCACAGGGAAGCAGAGCACTTGAAGCCAGACGGACCTACAGACACACAGAGAAGGACGTTTCCCCCGACCACAGAGAGAAGGCTCCTCTCAAGCACACACGGGACCTTCTTCAGGACAGGTCTCGTCTTGGGCCACAAAATGACTCCTGACCAGTGTGGTACTGAGACCACAGCAGGTACCTTTTCCAACACAGAGCCATCGACCCATAACACAGGGGGTTTGGGGAAATTCACAAATATGCAGAAATTAACACACTCCTGAAAAACCAATGGACCCAAGAAGAAACTTAAAAGGGAATTTTAAAGAGAATCTTGAGACTCGACTTCCCAAAGCTGAGCGGATACAGGTGCAAGACACTTCTAAAAGAGAAACCCTTTTTCTCTTTTGATCTTGATAAATGCTGACAATAAGAGAGATCTCCAACAGCCCGGCTTCCCGTCTCCAGGAACAGACCAGAACAAGACAAGCAGAGAGAGCAGGAAGAGGGACGTAAACGTCAGAGCAGAAGTAAATGAAAGGGAGACTGAAAGATGACGGGAATATCAATGAAACCCGAGTCAGTGTTGTGGAAAGACAGAATCAACCAGTCTTTCAGCTCTTTACAAATAGGTAGAGTTATGAATGTAGGCGGAGACATCACAAAGGGTGCCCCAGGGACAGAAAGGACCCTCAGGGACTGCGGTGACAAACTGGATGACCTAGAAGAGAAGGAAAAATCCGTCTACCAAGACCGGGCCGTGGAGAAACGAAAGGCGGTCAGACCAGTAACGAGCAAGGATGCGGAAGGGCCGCCGCAGACATCCCAGCCAGGAAACCCCGGACGGACGGACGGACGACTCAGGCATCCACACCAACCTCCTCAAGCCCACGAGGAAGGCACACTCACAACTCACCTCCC